TCAATGGCGTCGCCGTCTTCGTTGCTCTCTACCTCCTCGCCTACGACTTCGTCCCGGACCCTTCGAAGCTCTTCTCTCATATCTTCACCGTCATCCTCCTGATCCTCCTTGCCGCGCCGCTGACGATTCCAGCGTACGCGTTCTTCAGCACGCGGGCTTCAAAGTCTGATCGGGTCGTGTCGGAATCGGGTGTGGATCCTGAGACTCGAACAGTGGAGCCGCTTCTGAGTCAGGACGCGGCGGACGACGCGCAACAGAAGGCAGAGGCGGCGGGTGGTGACGTGGTGGCGGTGGTGAGGAGGAGGCCGGTAATTGGAGAGGACCATACGATTTTCGAAGCGATGACGAGTTTGGATTTCTGGGTGTTGTTTGTGTCGTTTTTGTGTGGGGTGGGGACGGGGTTGGCGGTTATGAACAATATGGGGCAGATTGGGTTGGCGCTTGGATACGTCGACGTTTCGATATTCGTTTCGCTCACCAGTATTTGGGGGTTTTTCGGTCGGATCGTTTCGGGAATGGTGTCGGAGTACTTCATCAGGTTGGTTAACTTAAACCCACTACTAATTATACTCATTAATGTCATATCAAAATTAAGAATAATTTTTTAGTAAAAGGTGTATTGTTATGTTCTTTTTTAAATATTCTCCTAATTTTTTTCGATTATTTTTGCAAAGGTCAACTCAAACCGGACTTCAAAAAAAAATTATTTTGTGGGTGCTTTAGTTAGTACTAACCATGATACTTAGATTCAATTACTTGGCCACTTGCAATTTGGTAGATAATAATAGAAATTGGAGAATCATATTAAGAAGAAGATCCATGAATTAATTCCTTTCTAGATAGTGTTTGTACATGCTTGGCTTTTTGCTAATGTTATTTTATGTTATAGAAAGAAGATTCCACAATTATAATAATGAATTCATAATAACAATTATGAATACTAATCTTCCAACAACAACCCAAAATTAATTACTAATTTACTATTACATTACTTAATAAGAACCTGTTTTTACTCTTTACTTTTGGGTTGCTTTTTGCTTTCGATTGAGAATATATTAATTTATTCATAAATTCTATAAAAGAAATATTGTCTCCCTTGTTCATCCCCCCTTCTCTCCTCTTTTGTTGTTGTAAATTATTTCTGGCCGTTCTTTACCATTTCCAATTACTTTTGCATTGGTTGAGGTGAAGACTTTTCCACTACCGTCACTTGTAATTCATTTGTAAAGTCAGTGGATGCAAATTTTCTGTGGCAAGTTGCTGAGAAATCAACATAAAGTTTGGTCCAACTCTTTTTCTACCCACCTTTTATTTATTTTTTATTTGAATTTTTTCGTTGAAAGAACATACACTTGCTTCTCATTAGGGCCATATTCTCTCATGACATCCTTACGTTATTTATCGTGCGAACGCCATTAGCTGCACACTTGCTTCTATACATTGGACCAATTTATGTAGCTTTAGAATTTGTTTTCATGTCTTGACAATTCTATAATTTATGTGCAAATATATAACTTTGATAGAAGCATTCATTGTCTGCAATTCTTTGCCAACTAACTTTTCTGGTGGCCATACATTTTTGGCTTGAAAAATCAACTAACATGCAACTCTCTCTTGTCTCTTTTTTTTTTTTTTTTTTTTTTTTTTTTTTTTTTTTTGGGTTGGTATATTGGAAAGCTGGAACACCAAGACCCCTTTGGAATGCTGCTTCTCAGATTCTAATGGCCGTTGGCTACATCCTCATGGCCATTGCCATGCCTGGTTCTCTCTACATCGGTTCGATCGTCGTTGGAATATGCTATGGAATTCGGCTTGCCATTACAGTCCCAACTGCATCCGAGCTATTTGGTCTCAAATACTATGGACTCATCTATAACATTCTAATCCTCAATCTTCCACTCGGCTCCTTCCTCTTCTCCGGCCTGCTTGCCGGGATATTATACGATATGCAGGCCACAACCACGTCCGAAGGCGGCAACACCTGTGTTGGTGCCCATTGTTACAGGCTTGTGTTTATAATCATGGCCATTGCCTGTGTTATTGGGTTTGGTTTGGACATTTTATTGTCCATTAGAACTAAGAATCTTTACAAGAAGATTCAAGCTGGCAAGAAATCAAAGAGAGTGGCTAATGGCACATAATAGTTAACCTAAGGTTGGACTTGGGAGGCCAAGAAATCTGAGGATTGATGGGCTTAAAATTTTGCCCAGTGATGTCCCCCATTTGGAATTAAGCTTGTTTTATCAATTTTTTATGGGGGCATTATGTTGCTTATCATCCATATGATCACACTTGAAGGAAAAAAAACAAAAAAAAAATCATATCATTACAAAAATGATGTGGGTAAGTTGTTTGATGGGCATCCCTAATCCGGCCCATTATGAAATTTGTATTGATTAATTCTTGGTGGTATTGGTGTGTAATTTGGATTAGTGTGTGTAATTATTTTCTTAATCGGTTGGCTATATTTATTCATTAAACAGTTCTTTAGTATTTTTTTCTGCGTTCTTGGTCTCTCTTGGCTTTTACTGGTCTAGAAACATTGATGGGCTTGTTTCTCTTGCTGGGCTATAAATATATATATGGAGCATCATCTTCTCAAGTGAACAGTTCATCCATCCCTTGGGCGCTCAACAAAGGGAAACATACAACTGACTTTAGTGGCTGACTTATTAAATCAAACTTTGGGCTGTCCAACCTTTTATGTCCAGGGGCTCTTATGAAACTCTTGTTTATATAAGCACTTGCAAACTTGGGCCATGCAACAACTATAGTAGCAGAAAGTTGGGCTTTACGTTGTGCCCTCTTTTTTATAAAAGCACTTGAATGTTTCCTAAAAATTTGAACACATTGCTTCTGAAAAAAGCACGGATGAGCACAAGTGCTTTATTTAGAGGCCTCTTTCTTTTTGGGAAAGGGCCAGAAGGCCCAACAGTGTAGTCTCATCAAACTAAACTAGTATGTGGGGCATTATGTTGCTTATCATCCATAAGATCACACTTGAAGGGGAAAAAAATCATATCATTACAAAAATGATGTGGGTAAGTAGTTTGATGGGCATCCCTAATCCGCCCCATTATGTACTGATTAATTCTTGGCGGAATTGGTGTGTAATTTTTTGGTAATTTGGATTAGTGTGTGTAATTATTTTCTTAATTGGTAGGCTCTATTTATTCATTAAACAGTTCTTTAGTCTTTTTTCTGTATTCTTGGCCTCTCTCTCTCTTGGCTTTACTGGTCTGGAAACATTGATGGGTCAGTTTCTCTTGCTGGGATAGAATATTCGGATCATCATCTTTTGAAGTCAAGTGAACATGAATCAGAGGCCCAACAAACGAAATGACTAAGGAAGGCCTAACCTGGGTTTGGTCCTCACAATCAACTGACAAATATACACAATAAAAAATGTAGGCAAGCCCGTAACTCAAAAGCCCATAAAAGATCATTCTTTTTCTTTCTATGGACCCCAAGAGATATCATAGGATAAGAATTTATCTCTCTCATTACGTGAATATCCATATTGAGCAATCAAAAGAGAAATTCAAAACCTGAAAGACAGATATCTCATTACGTGGATATGTTGTATTCAGCTATCAAAGAGATATTCAACTCTTAAAAGACATAATCCATGTCTTTGGATTATTCTTTTCTCCATATAGAATGAAGAGAGAATGATCGATTCCCTAATTGCCTTTCGGGTTATTTCCAAATATTTTGGCTATGCTTGAGAAGTAGATGAATCAACATATGTTTTCGGGAGAAATCGAAGATTTTCTTGGGAATTCTACAAGATTTAACTTATTTTTTGCTATTCGTTAGTTAGTCACGTGATGAGAGAGATAGACATATAAATGTACACAACAAGAGACACCCCATAATCTATCCCCAAAAGGACTACCTCAGTGACATGGTGAAATTATTGACATCATTTACCATCAATACAGCATGTAGATGAATGCCATGGCTCCTTGTAATGGTGCACGCGTGGAAGTTCAAAACCCATGAGCCATGAAAGCTTTGGAAAGCAAACACAGAGAGAGACTTTTAGAAGACTTGCGGCCAAAGCGTCGTGCCATAAATGGAACTCTGATCACCACCACTAAGTCTTCCTATGGACCCCTAATCGCCTCCCCTCCCAATCTGACCAAGGTTCTAGATTGCCTTACACAGGTGTAAAGTAACATTTGCTTTAACCAGCTGTGTCAAATTATCAAACCAAACCCTTCTTTTGTATTTTTCAAATAGGCCGAGCTCCAAAAGAGGACACCATTTATTTCGTGTTGTAACACGATTACCATTATTATAATTATCCCTGGTTGATTGCTAAATTGTAATTAGCTGCTACTAATTCCAATCAAGCACTGCAGAGACTAAGAATTAGGTAAAGATCGAAAAAGCCGAACCGAGGAATCTAATCCTTTTATTAAGCTGTTAAATTAATCATGAAAACCAAACATTTAATAGAGATTAGTATGGACTTAAGGAGAGAGACACACAGAGAGACAGACAAGAATGAACTCACGGTTGGAATGTTGCTGCTGCTGACCTTCATCAATTCATGGTCACGTGATAAAGCTCTCACACAGTCACACTCACATAGCGCGTGACCAGGCCACGGGCTTCTCAGTAGACCTGCTGCCAGCTGCCACTGTGCCCTTGTGATCTCTCACCTCATAGGCTCTTTCTTATTTAACCGCTTCATTATTTTGGGGAACGGTTTATTATCATTTTTATCACGAGGGATAGTCTAAACTAAAAAGGAGGGGGATTTCTCACACGTACAACTAAGATGTAATAGGATTTGAACGTGAGACCTCTTGTCTGCAAGTCAATGTCTTTTTTCATTGTCGGGGGTACGGTTTACTTGAAAAAAGAATTTTAAGGGGCCATACTTTTCTTATATTTGAGTTACAACCCATAACCTCAACATTCAAATGCAGAATTATATTGTATTAGAAAACCATTTTCACCATTTTCAGCACTGCAAACTGTAAGCAAGAATGGAAGACCCTTTCAGCTTTTGCCTCCTCATGTTCTTTTTCCTCCTCAGGGGCTCCTCTGTTGCTTCCTTTGGTTCTTCTTTCTCTTCCCTCTTTTCTCTCTCTTTTGTTCAGTTTATTTTACTGATTTTATGAGTTTATGTATATTTTTTTGCACACTGCAGATGGTCCACTGTATGATTCTACTGCTTACACAGAGGTGAGCATAAAATGTGGACAAAATTATTATGTCCCAGATGAATTTGTTCGTTTGATTCAGACTGTCAACTCATTGAATTAATTGGTTTTGTTTTTGGCAGTGTAAAATGCAGCCAGAGGCAGCTCTGTACGGTGGAGGAATCATCAATGATCAAGCTTCAGGGGTTGAAGGCAGCTTGGGCAACTCTGCAACTACAAGCAGTGGTGTTTATTCACCGTCTTTCATACTCCACAATCTCACTCAAGGCACCATTTACTGTTTCTCCAGTTGGGTTCTCTATTTCCTTATCTTTTTTTTTCAGCGGATAGTGGTAATTTAGTGTAAAATTACTTCTTCTTCTTTTGCTGTGGAAAAACAAAAATTACATTTAAAAATCAGCAAAAAAATTTCCGTTGCCGGGACTTGAACCCGGGTCTCTCGGGTGAGAGCCGAGTATCCTGACCAACTAGACTACAACGGATTGTTGATATGATTTAGTACTCTTAAATATTTATCCTTGTAATTTATGCATGGGCATCTTGGGTTCAAACATTGCATGTAAATAAAACTACAAAAAAATGCCCGAGCCCAGCCCGGAGTTGGATGATTTCAACGTTTGATTGATGTGAATTTCAAATTAATCAACGACTAATAGTGACTCATCGCATGTGTACAACTATCACTAGTCGAATTCTTATTAGGGATTTATGGTGACTGTAAAATTTACTTGCATCTTACATTGGGCTGCATTGTGCTTAATCAACAGGTTGGGTGAAGATAGAGGGTGCAGGCTCAGCTCTCATAAGGGCAAGCTTAAAGACAGAAAAAGAAACCTATGACTGCATAGGAACTGTTTTGGCTAAGCATGGATGCTGGTCATTTCTCAAGGGTGGGTTTGTGCTGAACTCACCATCTCAATTATCTATGCTATTCTTTCAGGTGATTTTTTTTTCCCAACACATTGGTACATTTTATTTATTTCATTATTCCTCCGAAATAAGTTTCAACTTTCATGTGGACTAATCTTTTGTTCTGGTTACATAGAACACAGATGACAGAGATGTCAACATAGAAATTGCAAGCTCTTCTCTGCAGCCATTCAGTGTTCAGCAATGGAGGACATATCAGCAATATATAATCAACACTGTAAGCATCTCAGCAAATGCTTAACCAAATTTTGCTCTAACTAGCTAAATACTTGTTTAACAGTAATATGAACTTGATTAAAATGAAAGTTGTTAATTTGTGTCCTTCCTTTTTTTTCTTTATCAATAGAAAAGGAAGCGTGCCGTGACAGTCCATGTCTCAAATGAGCAAGGCAAGAGACTGCAAGGAGTGACAATTAACATAGAGCAAGTGTCCAAAGATTTCCCATTTGGATCTGCAATAGCAAAGACCATTCTGGGAAATCCTCCATATCAGGTTAGGAAATTTGATGAGCTTGGTTTAGAACAATATTTTAAGTAAAAACTAATTTTATATGCATCATGTTTAAATCCAGAATTGGTTTGTTAAGCGATTCAATGCTGCGGTTTTTGAAAACGAACTTAAATGGTATGCAACAGAGCCTGAACAAGGCAAGACCAACTACACCATAGCAGATCAGATGCTGCAATTTGTTCGTGCTAACCAGATTACTGCTAGAGGGCACAATATATTTTGGGAAGATCCCAAGTACACACCGGCATGGGTTCGTAACCTTACAGGCAATGAGCTACATTCAGCTGTCAACTCGAGAATCCAAAGCCTAATGAGCAAATACAGAGAAGAGTTCATCCATTGGGATGTCAGCAATGAAATGCTTCACTTTGATTTCTATGAGCAGAAGCTTGGGCCCAATGCCACATTGCATTTCTTTGAAACAGCACACAAATTTGACCCTTTGGCAACCCTTTTCATGAATGACTTTAATGTGGTGGAGACTTGCAGTGATGTAAATTCAACTGTTGATGCCTACATTTCAAGGTTGAGAGAGCTTAGATATGGTGGAGCATTAATGGATGGAATTGGACTAGAGGGTCATTTTAGAGTACCAAACCCTCCTCTAATCAGAGCTATCCTAGACAAGTTGGCCACATTAGGCCTTCCTATTTGGCTCACAGAAGTTGATATTAGCAGCACTCTAGGCAAAGAAGCACAGGTAAATAAGTGTTACATATAGTTCAAAAAATTAAAAATCGGATCTCCATGAAATGCAGAATAATAACTGACCAAATATTTTTTTTGTTCCATGTATAGGCCATTTATCTAGAACAAGTTTTAAGGGAAGGCTTCTCACATCCATCTGTGAATGGGATAATGCTTTGGACTGCTCTGCATCCTAATGGGTGCTACCAAATGTGCCTGACAGATAACAATCTTCAGAACCTACCAGCTGGAGATGTGGTGGACAAGCTCTTGAAAGAATGGCAAACTGGGGAGATAGAAGGGGAGACAGATGACCATGGATCATATAGCTTTTTTGGTTTCTTGGGTGAATACAAGGTAAGTGTCAAGTATGGCAATAAGACTTCAAGCTCAACATTCTCATTGTGTCAAGGTGACGAAACTAGACATGTTAGCATTCAGTTGTAATACAATTTCAACATAATTATTAGAATATTGTTGCATTTAATAGAGCAGTAGGTCATAATTTAATGAGGAAAGTTAGGTTTTTTTTTAAATACAAGATGTTTGGTCTGCAACTCAAGACTCTTTTTCATTTGAGTTATAACCTGGAAAATTAATTTCTTCATTTAAAAAGTTGATCTATTTTTTGGGCCAAAGATATCAATAATTATAACCCATTGATGCTCACCTCTTAAATTCCATTGGCAAAAGTTGCTTGATTTTGCAGAAACTGTCCCCTAGCTATGTATCTTGCATCTCACATTTAAGCCACCACACCAACTTGAGTTCTTTTTTTATGATGCCATGCTATCCAGCAGACTCAACTTTTCACACGTGTTTCACTTACATTTGCAACTCTGTTTTGACGAAATAATCTAATAATTATTGCATCTTACTTAAACAAATGTTAAGAAATAATTGACTGGTCATTAGAGACTTGGAAGAAGTTGCTAGGATTTCTAATCAGTTTGAATATAATTTCAAGATATGATTCTTGAGAGAAGGACCCACATGATAATTCTTTGGAGCAACTGCATAATGCTGTAGCATTATGAGTCCTGCTCTTTTAAATTTGACGGCTACAATCTGCATCACTCTAGCAGATCAGCATAAGCCATCATAATTCATTATTGTACTGGCAAAGTAAATGAAATCTCCCTCATGTTAGCATTCACTTGTACACACACCCGTTGCAGTCGAGAGAATTTCTGTGTCTCCCTTTTCTCGTGAGGGTATATACAAGAGAATACTCGTTTATTAGTCTAGGTATTTTGGCTAAATTACATGGTCTAAGTAGAAAGACATTCCGGAAGACTAAATAAGCTCTCGGCTTACATCATTTGACATAATTAGGGCGTAAATTTTGCTGGATTTGTCCAAAAAGTGGTTTTGTTGTGTGCATATTTTCAAGGTGGGCCATTAGAGCATACATTCGCAGCTCAACAATGTCAACATCAGGTTACTTTTATGCAAAATTTGTGAAGAAAAGTTGGAAGGCCTGATCATTAGATCAACAAGTAGAAGCAGCTAATTATGCCTTGTGTACAAATGAACCACTTTTCCACCATTCCTTTTTTTTTAATTGCGAAGATTTGATTTGCATTTTGTTCTCTGGTCCCCAACTCCCACTGACGATTAACTTATTTCCGTCTGAAAATCCAACTAACGACTTCAACACCATCCCATATCTCACCAAACGAATTTATAATACATTAGACGGACTGTAAACTCGAACGTTCTAAATTTAGATTCTTCTATACGTAAACTTCCGAATTTAACCGATGAACGTGGTTTATGAATTGATAACATCACGGATTATCTAAGGCACAAGTTGTAAGGTCATACATTCTAAATTCAAAAACCCTAAAGGACACACCACATGGAACTGAAAAGACATGCAGCAGATAAAGGAAAAGCTAACAAAAACTTGAATTGGCCGCAAAGTGAAGCCACCATTTTGCTCACGCATTCACATTATACACTCCCTTTTATGAGAAAACATTCACAAGCCACGCACAATTCTCTTTCTTTAGATCAAGAATCAAAGGAAAATCAAAACCCCAAAAAGCCAGCCCAAGATCAAAAGAAGGGTTCTGAATCCTCATTTGCTGCTTTAGTAAGTACATATAGAGGCAGAACCTTCAAAAAGCTTGAGTGCAAAAGAAAAAGGAACCCTACTACCTACTACTACTCTCATACAGAAATTAAACGAAAAACAAAAAGGAAAAATGAACATTTTTTACGTGTATCTTACAATGATTTTGAGGTGAGGGAATCTTGGAAGGGTTGGGTGGGTTTACAATCTTTGATGAATCTGTCAGCTTTTTTTTTCTACCAAAGGCAAAACTCAGAGTGACCACTAGAACACTCAAACCTCTGAATAATTCACATTAAAGAGCAAACTGCCAAGGGAAACACAGAGTTGGGGACTACAAGAAAAGATAGGACAAGATGATACACAAAGCTGCTGAGGTTATGGAGAGGGGCCCTGCCCTATTTGAGTCTCCCATGGCCAAACCAGCTAACCATGACCCATCATCTGCCAGCATGGCCTCACCAGATCCAGACCCTGACCCGGGAACTGTCCCGGTGCCCGTGCCCGTGCCTGTGCCTGTGCCTGTGCCTGTGCCCGTGGCTGACCCGGACCCAGACCCGGCACCAGAATCCGAATAAGCGAACCCGGGAGTTGAACCGGCAGTAGCAGCCCCTTGTGATGGGGTTGCTGTCATTGGTGTGGACTTTAGACTGCATGCACCCACATGATCAAATGTTAGAAAAAATCATACAAAAACAAGTGATCAGATACTTTGGTGTGACAGTCCAGAGTTTCAACATCAAATACATATAAACAGATATTCTGAATAAAATACTAGAGAATTTGATCAACTATTAGAAAAGCTTGTCAAACAATAAAGCAAAGCTTATTTTTTTTTCCTAGAAGAGAATAATCTTTAGCTGTTGAAACAAGAAAGCAAAGCGCTCATATGGCTTTAATTTTGTTTACCTTGGAGACGAGGGGCAAAATGTAACCGTATAATCGGCCCCGGTACACGTAAACGTACTCGTAGCATCGTCGTATGCGTAGCTATACGACTTGGGGCACGCCGCCTTAAACATCTGCGAGTAAACCGACGGGCTACAGGTGGCGGGTGTGGCATACGCCCCGCTGCAGCAGTACTCGGGGGTCCCAAACGCCTCGCAGGCGCTCTTACACGCGTCGCCGTCGCCGACCCTCAACTCGGCCGGGCACATCCGGTTCAGATCCGTGGAGCACCCGGTGGATGCGCACTGACCCGACCCGCCAGTACCCTCGACGAAAACGGGCAAGTTGTACCCGTCGACGAGGCTGACGTCATAGAAATCCTGACCGCCGGTGCCGAGAGTGAACTCGGCTAAGGTCGCCGGCGGGGCGGCTCCGGCGCCGTTGCACTCGACTTGGCCTGAGCCGCAGTCGCCGGTGGTGCAGGACCCGGACCCGGATCCGTCGAAACTGCAGCCGGTTCGGGCCCAGAAACGGCCCGACCAGCCGGTTGGGGCTTGGAATGTGCGGGCGGTTTGCTTCGGGAGCTCGAATCCGGTGGAGTCGAGCCTAGGACTGTTGGCATTTGCGAGAATGCCTGGCCAAACTGTGTAGTCGCATCTGTTGACGAATGTGAACGTAGTGCCTGAAACGCCTGCAAGAAAATACAGAGAGTGAGAGAGAGAACCAAAGTGTAAACTTGTTAGTGAAATTTAAGTTTTGAGAGCGACCCAAAAGAAATGAAGGCAAACCAATGAAGCTAGAGAGAGAAAGTTGTAGCTTGTTAGTGAGAATGTAAGTTTTGAGAGCGACCCAGAAGAAATTAAGGCAAACCCATGAGGAAGATAGAGCGAGAGAGAGAGTCAAAGATTGAAGCTTTACCTCTGAAAGTGAAGAATAGTAAAAGAACGAGGCTCAGAATGAGGTTATGTGAGCTTGAAGAGAAAGGATCCATGCGTATGAGGTTAAATGGGTCTTTTTGTGGAGCAGCTGCCCTATGAGGATGAGGTTGGTGGTGGTGGCGTGGGAGGGTTGGGAGTGAGGACAATGCAGGGGTTTAGGGGCAGAGAATCACTGGAGAGGAGTGAAGAATGACGAATGGAGAATGGGAGAGAAGGTATGGGGTTTCAATTACAGCTAAAAACGACAAATTTGGTTTGTGTGGGAACACTTGGAGACTGAGCTTGAGAGATACAAATCATAAAATAATAGCTCTGTCAGTCTCTCTCATCATCTCGTCTTTATTATGGTTCCCTCTTTTTTTCTTTTTTTTTATTTAAATGAGAGACCGAATCTATAACATTCTTTAAAGAATTTAATTTGGAACGCATATTGTTAATGCGAAGGGTTTATAAGCTCAAGTGATTATGAGCAATTATCTTTATGTATTTGATAATTTATATAAAAATAATATATATAAATTTGAATACCCCAATCTAACCTAGTTTTCTCAATATGAGTCATACGGAGTGTCTTTAAAACAAAATATTACGCACTCAATTAACAAGTAATTCAAAATTATCTTCTCATTGGGATATATAATTTATAACTTATGTTAGCTTTTATACCATCAAGAATTTATTTCAACTTTAGTTTTTTTTTAACTGTATATGATTAACGGTCAATTAACACATGTTTTTTTTTCTTCTTTTGATTAAAAAAACACATGTTTTTTTTCAGTAAAAGATTTAACGCATGTTTATTTACCACCGGAAAAAAACACAAATTAACGCGGGAGCTACGCTGTTCCTGTAGCTTCATATGGTAGGACTGTGCATGATTTATTTACACGAGTAAAGTCAACAAAGAGTCGAAGCTTTGGGAACAATGGGGCCCCGCTAAAGGCCTTTTTTCTTGGCTGAGCTGTCACATCATCACCATTTACAGTCTACAGAGAAGAAAATAATTATATTCAATCACCACGTCACTGTTTGGAAGGTGGGGTCTGTGAGAGAACATTTAATCTGTTGACACGTCAGATTAAGTGACCGTTGATAAGCTCCACATGGGCCAGTAGGGTTCGGTGTGTTCTCGTTCTGCTGCTAGTGCAAATTATGGGAGAAGCATTGGATTCCCTACGTCTCTCTTCTTTTCATGTTTTTCCCTATTTTGAGGCTTGAAAATTTTGACCCTTCTAAACTTTCAAAATTAGATCAAATTTATATATTAATGCAATAACTAAATCCCTCTTAAATGTTAAATTGATCTTGAAAAGTTATCTTTTAGTCACTTTCTGGTTTTTTTTAGGGGAAAAGCAATAGTATTTTATTGAAGAAAAATGAGTAATTAGTACAAACATCGGGTGATAGTATTTTAGTCACTTTCGGGTATTTAGGTATACAAAAATTGTATGATGCATCTTGCGTGGTTATATGTATTTTGTTTGTGCAAATATTTCATGGAAGAATATTTACTTGAAGATCATTCGCCTTTTTAACTTCCTTTTCTCTCTTCTTCAATACCTAAAGACCACATTCGGGGGTGTTAGCGAAAGGCTCTCCGATGTATAAGTTAGTTCGATTAAATCATTTGAGAAATAATAGCTAAAATGGGTCCGGAGTTTTCTCTATAGAAAGAATCGAGTGCCCAGAGCTGTGTGTGTGATGGCACTTAGCTGTGTGGGAGAGATGAATTTGGGAGGAGCCGGCGTCTAGGTAGGGATTTCAAGTGTTTAGGGTTTTTAAGAGGAATTTTGAATTACTTTGGATGTTGAATGTAGCCATGTATTTTTTTATTTTTTTATTTTTTATGAAGAAAAGGGGGTGGGGGGAAGCCCCAAACACCAACACAACAACTAACTAGTACTAATCAGACGAGCCTTAACAGCTTCCAAAGAATCATTAAGCAATAAACAACCAAGCCAAGTAGGACTCTCCTCAAAATAGTAACAGCCTAGGTCCAGATTGTGACTCCAAGTAGCCAACCCATCAGCTACCTCATTCCTCTCTCTATAGATATGTTGAAGCTTGATCATTCGAAACAAATTCATGAGCCTTTTACAGCTGCTGACTAACCCAACATTATGATGACAAGCATTCAAAACCTTATTCTAAACAAGAAATACATCAGTATCAGAATCGATCTCAATAACCATATCATCTACTTTTTTTCTCAACAGCCAAATTCAACCCAAAAAACAGACCCCACAACTCAGCTACGGTTGGGCGGTTTTTCAAAAAATAATTCATAATTAGAAGGAATGTAGCCATGATGATATATCCAAATTAGGATAATATCTTAATATCCTTATTTTTAGTTATTAATTAATTTGTCAAATATATTAGCTCAATTAATTGACATAGTAGATATTCTTCTTATCCACGTGGCACCTTGTGATTGAAAGCCGAAATATTTGTTCTCACATATTTGTAATTACCCAAATTATAAATGCAACATATGATCTTTATCTAAAAAAGAAATAAAAATTGTATGATACATGTATCGAGCAATCCTCGTGACATCACTTGTTCGCTATTATAGATGCTATCAAATTTTACTTTGATTATGTTTCAATGTTAAAAAATGGGAGAAACTTATCAATTTTAAATCTTTTTTTCTCCTTCATATTTGTAAGACTTAAATGCGTTTTTGTGCCATGAACTAACTCATAATTGTCAATTTGCACCCTCCATTATTTTTTCGGTAAATTAAGGATACGAACTTGTTAAAAATAGCCAATTAGGTGCATGCCCTCAGATTTTGAATGATTTCATCCATTTCATATGGAGAAATTGACAATTATGGGTTAGTTCATGGGGCAAAACTGCATTTAAGCCTATTTTTAATCATCGTGTAGCTTGCGGATTGAGAAAGAATAGGAAGAAGAAATTGGTACAAAACACAAGCAGAGCCATATAGATCTGAAGTGGCTGTGACTTCAATAAATCCCATAAACTTCTTTGAATTTTGTATGAAACATAAAAAGCTACATGTAAATTCATAAACTTTTCAACTATTGACCCCTCATATCCGATTTTCCTAAAAACACGAAACACCCCACATCCTTCAAAAGACATTGCAAGAGCAATGCTTTGTAAATATTGAAAATTTGAAAATGATTTAGGTGATTTTCTAACACAAGTTGGACAAAATCATAGCCGATGATGATGCCCGATTTTGCTATGAATGCACAACATGTCTCATCCCCATGAAGAGTGTTATTTTAGGTGCTTGATGTAATCCAAGCACATTTCTCATGTAAAATTTATGGGCAAAATTCTCTAGTCACGTATGGATGCCTCAACTTACACCAAATAAACCCCAATACATAAAAAATTCCCAAAGGAAGGAAAGCGTAACATCAATTATTTGACTCATTTTCAACCCATGGATCCAAGAAATTAAATGTTTTGCATGTGATTGTTTTGTTTTATCATAATATTTTTCTAGGGCAAGCATCATTGGGGGTCCAAACCGCACGATTGCAGAGACCATTGAACCCACTTTCTGTAAGAGGGAATTTGTCTTCGAGTGCCTATAGTGCAGGGGGGGGCGAATATGTAAAGTGAAGTGATCTTGTTTCTCATTTCTATCTTATGTAAAAGTGAACTTCTTATCTTCCCTTTATTCTTTTAACTTTTCCTTCTCTTTTGTGTACAAAGTAGGCCAAGAGACGGTCCTTTCTTTTCTTTGTCTTCCTCTAGTTTGATTTTAATTTGTTATATGATTAGGGTAAACTCTGTAGTGATTTTTCAACAGATTATATGACAAATGAGAGCTCAGTGATCATAGTAAAGTTTGCTTTCCAAATGTTAAACCCTACATTGACAAATCAATGTCATGTCTATTCATTTTCATTTTGATGTTTAAATTTGAGTAGTTTTTCCCTTTTTTTTTCCTCGATACAAGCGAAATTGAGAAAGGAGGAATTTGAATAAAGATCTTTGAGTGTATGGGTAAATGCACTTAATTAACCACTTAAAATACAAGTCACTCGTAAGGTTTTCCACGTTTAAATACAATAATTGACATGGTGTTGGACTGAGACATGTCTCTTTTAAGGATATATAATGTAAACAGAAACAATCTTTACTTCGAATTAGTCATTTGGTTGAAATTTGAAGCCATCACAGGTTCTTGGCCAATTTGAGCTGTGAATAGTGAGCCCAACACACATGTAACTTGGGTCCTTCCCTTGCCCACCAAAGGGGCAACAAAGAACGCATTAGTGGGATGAACTTTATATCCACAAACACATAAGATGCCATATCTGCATCTTTACATATACACTTCCATCCTAACCTAGCATCTGCACAACTACTTTATAAGAACATGCAGTTTCTCAAAAATGATGGGAATTCGGAGTTTCTCCTAATATTACAGATCTTTTGAAGAAAAAAGTCATCAGAGGCAAAATTCCAACAGTCCTACGTATTTATGACTGAATAGGAGTGAACAAATACTAATCTACAAGATTTCTTAAGGATTTTATTTTTCCCCACAACCATTTCCGATGAACTAATAGCAAATGCAGTGAGGAGTGATGGGTGGATAGCTAGTATCAGCCATGGCACCTGCTATTCAACCGGGATTGTAATACTTTCTTCCTGGAAACGTGAGGACCAATATTAGTCATATAAAGCATGTACTAGAAGTGACCGAAACTGGAAAACAGAACGTACTGCTGCACTAGAGGCATCCAAACCATAGCTGAGGAAACACTGCTAGCACTATGGCTCCTTAAAAGTACATCATGGTCTTGTTAACCAGCGGTAGCACCGCCCCATCTTTTCGTATTCCCAGCACCTTTTGACTGCAAATTCCATACAAGGCACCAATTATGCTCATGAAGTTTTACTCAATGCTGTAATGTGCTGAACTCAACATATTCATTATGCAATATGCATTATAATAGTTGAACAAATTAACAGAGCACTTTTAACTGCCTGAAGTAAAATGCAGCAACTTGTAGGTTTAAGAGGAAATAAATATACGCATACGAACAAAACCTTCCAGATTACCCCCACACACCAAAAAAAAACAAAAAACAAAAAACAAAACAGAGCAAACATGGCTTCACGAGAAGAGAAAAACATTTGGTCTGTTCATGATCCTGAGGTAAAAATGCGATGAAGTGATTTTGAATATGAGACAACATTGAATCACAGACAAAAAGTGGTGAAGTTGAATTGTTGTACAGGTTCAACAATTCTGGTGTTCAAGGGGGATAGGTCTTGACATCTTCCTCATGAACAACTAATGCAACTTTCCCAAATCACGGGTAAACAAGAGACGGGACAAACGCGTATATATTGTTAATATATAAATGCATACAATATGATTATCTTTAACCACAGATGTCCCAAAGACAATTTAAATTATATCAACCAGTGACAAACCAGACAGATACTAACAAACAAAATGACGCACTGTATGATGTGCAGAGATGTCAACCTTCAACTCCCAAAGTCTAACCATATCATAGTTTCTTTCTGCTATATATATTGACCACATTGTGATCATAAGACTTATAGCTGAACCTTGATTGAACTAATTAGTTTAGTCATTCAGAAACAACCCCACTTGAAAATTCAACTTGTTCTTTGTCTTTTATCTCATTTTATGTTTTCTTTGTGCCACTAAAATAGCAAATTAGTAAGGATTTCGAGGCAGCTGAAAAACGTCGCCATAAGCTGTAAGCAATCCTGAAGAACCACAAATTAGGGGCGTGTAAGTTGTACCCCACACCTTCAACATGGCCATCACATTCATAGCTCAAATAATTCCTAACAAAAAATTCAACGTGTCCATTTCTCGCACGATTCAACGTGTCCATTAATCGTATCTCACACGTTACGTTATAATGTGATAGCATGATTAATTAACAACCTATTATATTATCCCATGTAAAATTTTGTACCAGAAAAATTAAATAACACATCACAATATATGTGTAACATGTAATAGTAATTGTACCTTGTATAAGGCAAAGGGCAGAAGATTATAATGTAGTCCGCAGAGGCGCATGTGTAAGTACTAGTCTTGTCATCATACGCGTAGCTATACGCGCGTGGGCAAGCATGCTTAAAAAACAGCGAGAACACAGAGGGCTGACACGTGTCGGGCGTAGCATACGCATCACTACAACAAAACTGCGGATCCCCAAACGCTTCGCACGCGCTCCTACACGCCACTCTCCCGCCTCCACCCTCGCGCGCAACCCTCAACGCCCTGGGACACTTGCCGTTTAAGTCCACAAGACACCCCGTGGCGCTGCATCCCCCTCTTGTACCTCCACGTGGCACCACAAGCATCGGCAGGTTGTATCCATCCACCAGGCTGACGTCATAAAAATCCAAGCCGTCGGCGCCGTTGAGAGTGAACTCGGCTAAAGTAGCCGGCGGCTTCGCGCCGCTGCCGGCACACTCAATTTTTCCGGAGCCACAGTCGCCCGTGACGCAGGAGAAATTGGTGGGCGAGTATTCGGTGCAGAGGGTCCGGGCCCAGATCCGACCCGACCAGGCTTTGGGCACGGATAGGGTCCGGGACTTGCCGGACTTGAGCGCGAAGCCGGTTGGGGAGAGCGGAGCCGTGTTCGCGCCGGAAAGCACACCGGGCCATACTTCGTACCGACACTTGTTCACTAGCTTGAAAGAGGCAGAGTTCACTTCTGCATGGACCAAAATTTAAAAACAAAAATCAAGAAATGGGTTTTGTTCCTGATGAAAAATTAAGAATTGGGTTTTGTTTCTGATGAAAAATTAAGAATTGGGTTTTGATTTTGATGAAAAACTAAGAACTGGGTTTGAAGGAAAATTAGTTTAGAGTTACCTGAGAAGAAAGGGAGGATGAGAAGTGTGAGTACAGAGGCAGAGAGTAACAGACGATCCATTGAAGAAGAAGAAGTATGTGCAGCTGTATAGTTGAGGTTGGAGGATGCCAAAGAACTTTACTTTTCTTGCGAAGAGAGAAGGGTGTGTTTCAATTTTTGTTTTTTCTTTTGCTTTTTGGGTTTGTAATTTTTATAAATTTTATAATCTGAATGGGATTATGATTTCAAAATTTGGTGTCTATGTTGAAGTTCTATGATTTATCCTTTTTTTTAATGACCTTTTTCAAGCACTAGAAGGATCTGTCTACCATCTTTTCATGGAAAAATTGAGAGGGATTGGGACTTGTTCTTAAACCGGCAAAAGGCGTTTTCAAATAACTACAAACAACTAAAAGCAATTGTAACACATTTTGGTAGAGAAATCGTGCTTCTAGGTTATAAATCAGAAAGCACTTTTAATAGAAGTGCTTCTACAAAAGCAATCCTAATGTGACCTGAAATCTTAGTTGTATATGTTTCAACAAGGCCGTGAACATTTGGCAGCTAGGGGTGAATTTGTTTTGGGACCCAGAAAAAAGGAAAGGCAAAGTGCACATGGTATGATGGTAGGAGAAGATTCTGGACTCGTTTGAAGTACAATCTATAATAAATAATACCACAAATATCTGGAGATAAATCATCATCCACCACACTCATCACTGCCCAAGTAATAAATTAAGAGTCGCTTTCTGGAAGTGGTTTCAGGTCAATTTGATTCAATGATATTATTGAATGGTTGAGCTTTTGGGGAGCCCATGAAGATGAAGGCTGTTTGGAAACGGGTTTGACTAAACCCATCTCTTGGATTTGTATGGACTAGTTCTAAAATTTGAAAGCTTGAATGAGATTTTGTTCATGACCATTCTGAAAGTCACAACTCTGGATTTGATCATATGATTTTGTTCAAAAGGCATGATGTGGAGAAACACAAATTTTCAATAAAGATCGGACATTTAAGATCAAACTGAAATCATTCAAAACACAAGTTCTTCAATTTGGTCCAAATTGGTAAAATACATCATCGCTAACCTTCAAAGTTGGAAACTTTGACAGTTGAAATGCTCATTTTCTTTCAATCACTTTGCCACATTTTCTCAGCAACCAAACGTAGCCCCAACAATGAATTTACAGAGAAGGGACGAACACTACTCACCTCACAAACAAAGATTTCAGCTAAAGATGATTGCTTTTAAGTCTGACGGCTGATTTGATCGGAGATCGGAGATCCGGCGACTCGAAAATTTCGAAGCTCCATTCGCAAACGTGCGCGGGGTTGGTGTAAGTGTAACTGCGCAGAACAATGAGCGAAATATTTCGCGCGAGCACCGTTATAAATTGGGCTGTAATAATTTGTTGCCACGTCATATTTTGGACTATTAATAAGTAGATGATCTCAGCCGTCCATGGAATTTCATTTTTCTGGGCTGGCCCATTATGGGTTAATTTTATTGGGCTTCAAAAGAATGGCCTATGTAAACTTGGGCCTTGGGCCGGACTATATTTTTTTGTTTATGGGTTTTAAGTTATTTAATTTCATGGCAAGATATTATAGGAAATTAAGAAAAAAATTAACTTACAAAGTGCTAAAACTTGTGTAATTTCAATTATGATGCTAATTATGCCTCCTTAATCCAGTCTTTCCCTTTAAATTTTTTCTTATTGATCTCATAATTATGTTTTGGGAGAGTTAAAAATTGAAGGCTGCAAGCTAATTTTATCCAATGTTCATAATGCCCCTTTAATAAACCTTTTGTATCCATGTCAAACCACAAGCAGCATCATACCAAATGTATGATTGTGTAGAAAATTCCTTTTACTTTGGGCTTTAATATATCATTTTGTAGTGTAAGTGTAATTTTGGGTAGTTTTATTTGAATCATTAATTTGTTCAGTCATAAAGCAAAGTAAAAACAATCTCATTCCACCAACGGGGTCTAACTTAATCGAAAAGAGTATTGACTTGTAGATCAGTAGTCTCATTTTCGAATTCCCATGACACCTTGGTAGTGTGGGGAGACGTTCATTACTTGCTTATGGCCGAAATAATATAATGAGTTGATTTCATTTCAAATATTTAGATCCAATTCCGAAGATACCCCATTATACTTTTATTCCCTTTTGTGAGTTGTACAGTGTCAAAGTGCAGCTTTAATGTGTTACCCAAAGCCCAATGGACACTAAAGTTGTACACATTTTCTTTAAAGATAGGATTCTTTTGGTCTTAAAAGATTGTTCTCAGAAAGGAGGGCCATAAAGGCAATCTAGCATTATTGTGTTTGCTGGTATATTTCTTCAATTCAATTATTTTGCACCAATAATATAAGGCAGGCAGGCAGTTTTTTGTTAATGGGGTTGACCGAAGTTGAATAAATTCTTAGCACAAAACGAAGGACCCACTTGCTGTTAGTTGAATTTCAGGTCAATGTAGGGCTTCCAAAAAGCCAAATTGGTGCTTCTCCGATCAGCAACAAAAGACACCCTTAGAAACTGTTAACAAGAATAAAAGAAGAGCAAAAGTTTGACCAATTATGGAACTTTAATCATTGCCAAGGATAAGCCCTTATACATGAGAGTTTAGGATAAGCCCCAAATCTAGGAAGAAAAAGAAGGTTTTGAAATTAGGTTAATTTTCATCGTACTTCACATTCACATATCACTTTGACAGATAATATAAACACGTGATTGGTAGAATTCTGATAAGAGAGCGTTACACAGTATTTGAATACGAATACTTACATCATATCTAAACTTGTCATTTGAGTTAACTAAAATTAATCTAATAAATATGATGAAAATGTTGAAAGAGGATTGATGAGCTATATGATGAGTCATTTGATACGTCAACCTCTTGCATACTTGTATGGATCAAAGAGGGTCAAGAAATTATTGTTCATCATAGGCTGACTTATATCCAATGGACCAGCTCGCGTGCTAAGAACCTTTACCACGCTGAGGATTATTAGTTGGTTGCTAATTTTGGTGTTCCTCAACATTGTGAAAGATTTTGGTTTAATCTCAATCATATGGCCGTTGTGTTTTGGTCCCCCACCTTATAGGCCTTCAAATTTGGTTCGGAAACAAAATTCATGGCAGTTAACATGCTTTGTCTAGATTTGTCACACATGTGCCATCCCTTTCCAAATTTCAGAATTTGATGAGACAAAATTTCAAGCCATCAAACATGCTTTGTGCCCTTGTCTAGGTTTTAACTTTGGCCATTGTACTAGGTTATGAATATAGAACTCCCCTGTCTTCATTTGCAATGTTGGTGTGATTAAGAGCCAATTAATTAACAACTTATGGATATAAGAATTGGTGTTACACATGGAGTGATAATGCCTAATTAATGACATCCACGTGAGCAATTGTCAGCCGTTTATGTTGGCGGGTTCTACGAAACCTCATATAGATCAACCATTGGATCTTCTAATTGTTAGCTTGAAACTGTCTAAAGCAATCGATTATATACATCTCTCTTATCACATGACTAGTAACGCAATGAGAAATAGACACATAATTACATACAACTATTACACCTAAATTTTTCTAATAGTTTTTCTCCTTGTTAGAACATCATTTTGCTCTTATGTTGCTTTCAAACGTTCGATCAACTAGTACTGGTCCTCCTGGGTGATCTGACAGGAAATTCAAACTCAGTCAATTTGATCTCTCTCATTCATACGATGAATATATACCATCAAAGGCTCCAAACGATAAGATTTCAAGAGCAACCATATATGCAGAATGATAGGTTGGTCAGGGCTGCACCAGATTTTCAGTCAAGGAGACACAAGCCACAGGGAATGTTTCTGGTCCTAGACTGGAAAGCATAACCAAACAAGGAATTGGGCGAGGGTGGCCCAACAAAACCCATGAATATGTTACCCTGCACCCAAACAAAACTCTTTTTAGACCTGAATAACGTGGTAATATGTTAATAATATCATCACCTGAACTGCTTCAGCATAAATGGTTTGCCCTAATTATTTAAATAAAGACAAACTCATTATGGTTCATCATCATTAGGTGGAAGATAATCAATCTCTCCAGATGATCACTATGTTCGAATTCTAAAAGAGCCGGGCATAAAAATCTTCGCAGCATCGAAAGAAGAGAAAAGGAGGAGGAAATTATGTGTTCACTCAGTTAAAACGTCGGACTCAACCTTATTCTTGTTCCTTTTTGTATTGTTTTTTTCTTTTTTGGGGTTGAAGGGTTAGTCTGGTTTGGTTTAGGAAGGCTGTCTGTTTCAAATTCAATTCACATGTTTGTGTTAATGGGGAAATCAAAGGACGGTCAAAGAAGCACAGTGAGGTATCAGAATCTTATATGTTTCATGTGCTAAAATCTTTTGCTGCAACCCTATTTTGATACCTCACGGGTTGCAATGCCAAGTTTTTGTTGTTTTAAATGAATAGATTAAAGAGAATAACTAATTAAAAAAAGATTTAGCTAGTAGAGAAGACCTAGTTGGTAGTACATCCAAAGTTCCGAACTAAGGTCACGAGGATTAGGCGACATATTATAAATCGCGGGTTATTTTCTTTTTAGGTAAATTTAGGTTTAAAATAAGTAAGAAAGTTTGAGTGAGTTTTATTTCAATTGAGAAATTTGGGAATTGGGGTTTGGGCCTTTGGAGCGGTGGAGAGGTTCTCGAGTCCACAAAGCATTGAGATAGCAAGCAAGCCATAGATAGAGGCCATGTGAAAAAAGCAGCTTTCTTCTTCTTGTAAAGCGACCACGCCCGTTTGGCTGCAATCATGTGGTCTACTATGTTATAATTTTTTTCCCCTCACTCTTTCCCTTGCCTATTTCTTTTTTTATCCCCCCTTGCCCCCATTGCCCCCCTCCCTAAGTACCTTGTTCTTCTACAACATTATGAAATGTCAATAACATTCCTTGGCTTTTGGGTTCTTACCATCTTACCCTTTACCAAACTCTATCCCCTAATTTTAATGTCATCAATGAATTCTAAGATATCATGCATATTAGACGCAGAAGAGAATGGTATATGCATAGTT